CACAGRACACTAGTATTTAAAAAATTCAAAGAGAAAGTATCCAACTTACGCTGCAATAGCTTCAACATCATTTTCAAAAGCYCCTGAAGCAACACCTACATTGAAACATTGAAAAACAAACAAATCAATAAATGAATGAACAGCYTCAAACACTATTTAAATAAATGTCTGAATGAATGCATAAATAATTGTGTGGCAATAATAGCATAGTAAGTTTTAATACCWGATACTGATGTGTGTGTCTTGGCTCCACCTAACTCCTCTTGTGTCACCTTCTCTTTGGTAACTGTCTGAAAAAACATTACACCATATTCACATGAGATATAACCTCAATTGAGATTTAAATAAACACTTTGTGCACTTCAGAATTAAATAATTACCTCAACAACATCTGGGCCAGTAATAAACAGGTAGGATGTTTCCTGAAGAGAAGGAAATGAAGAAAAGTAGAATCAAATAGTGTCCTTTTGAAGATGGTAGTTATACATTAATACAGCCGTGATACAGTATGATACAGTTATTTTGACAGATGTCATGTACTATATTCCTTACTAAAATATATTATTAGAAAGGAACTCTAAATAACAGAAACAAAGGGCAAAATAATATAGTAGTACCTTGACCATGAAAGTAAAATCAGTGATAGCTGGAGAGTAAACAGCTCCACCAGCACAAGGACCCATAATGAGYGATATCTGTGGTACAACTCCTGATGACTCTACATTTCTCTGGATAAAATAGTCATGACATGTAAGCAGCAATACAACACAATAATCAGGTTACAGCACTCAAGATTTCAATCGTCCAAACAAGGTACATTTATCTACCTGGAAGATATCAGCATATCCAGCAAGAGATTCCACACCTTCTTGAATGCGAGCCCCACCAGAATCATTGAGACCTATTACTGGTGCTCCTACTAACATGGCTTTGTCCATAATCTAGTAAATACAACATAAGAGTACTTCACAATCTAAATTCTAAAGAATAAATACAGCTTTTGAACTATAATCAAAGAGTGGTTGCAGAGAAAAGTAAATAAATACCTTGCAAATCTTGCGAGCATGGGCACTTGACAAACTACCGCCAAAGACTGTAAAATCCTACAACCATTTCAATTTAAACAAGTCAAAACAAAACAGTCTTCTTGTGAATATACTAAACCATGCATTACCTGGCTGAACACAAAGCAAAGCCTTCCATTGATTGTACCATGTCCAGTAACTACGCTATCGCCTGTAAACTAGAATATTATTCTTTTATGACACATTTGTATCACTAGAACTAACACAGAACATATAGCTATTTCAAAAAAGGTTSTCSGATAAAATGGCGAATGTCAATGGTCGAATGGCGATTGCACGACCGAAAGTAACCATGGGTTTTGCTAGTTGAAAGGCAATAACAACTGATTTGTACTGTAAGATTGTCTGTGGTAAACATTGGCTCCATTTAGTCTCTATGTAAAGTGAATCCAATAAGTGAATTTTTTTTATCAAAACAGTGTAACCATAGTCCTTTTCGGTCGTGCAATCTCCCTTTGACAATCGCCGTTCGCCGTTCTCCCCGACAACGTTTTTTGAAAGAGCTGTATATCGAGCATTCAACAAGTAACAAAAGGAATATAGGGCTGTGTGGATGATATATAAATAAAGTAGTTCACTGACAAGAGTAAACAAACAAACAACTGTTTACCTTGTTATCCTGCATACCAAATTCAGTACAATTATGTTCCATGTATTTATCATATTCAACAAAGGAATCAGGATCAACAAGTAGTTTAACTCTCTCCCTGGCAGTCAGCTTACCCTGTGAATACACAAAAATAAATCAGCATTTTGTACAACAACAACAACAACAACAACAACAAACATTTAAAAAATAAATAAATCAGCATTTTGTACAACAACAACAACAAAAAAACATTTTTATGATATATTCTATGTCCAGTACTAAATTAAGCATAATAAAGAGAAAATTACTATATGGGAGGAGTTACAAACTATTGTTGCTTAAAGTTCATGGAGAGGCAGTTATAATACAGCTGGAGAGGCCAGCTAATGGTTATGTCTGATAAAGTGGGGTTAGCTTTGGAATTTCTTTCAAGAAAACGTACAGATTTTTGATTATAAATTATTGGACAATAATCGTTATTTTTACCAGCAATAGAAGTTAATCATTTCAACAATTATCACTTTATGTTTTAATAGTTTCATATAATAATATAGAAACACTAAAGACAAATATTTGGAATTTATAAAAGCTCAGGACACAGCCTTCAAAGTAAAAAAATTAAAATTGCTTTTACAATCAGTAYTTAATTATTTGTAGTATCACTGGCTGACCTTTTTGTGTTGTGTGTCAATTCTTTTCTGTCCTCCACCAAGTTCAGCCTCTTTCTTCTTCTTCTCGATCTCTGTTAAAACACTTCTTCCCGATGCAGCTCGTGCAAACAATAAGCCATTTCTCAACGAAACAGGAGACTGGCCATACACTGCAGAACGAGAAAAAGGGAGGATTTTCCTAACAACAACTGCAGAACGAAAGAAAGCCGACATCTTGTTGGAATCTCATACACAGATTACAAAAGACACCTTTGTAGGGAGGGGTGAGAACWACCTGKCGCTTATCTATTTTCTTTTCATTGGTTCAAAGCGGCATTTTGATGAAAAGTGGCCATAGAATTGATATCGTATTAAATGGTRTAATCTAAATCTATAAAAAAGTATAAGAAATTTGAAAAATTGTACCAAATGAAAAAAATATTTAATCCTTGACAKGGGRTAGGCTGGGGCTTGTGATGTGTGCCTTGTTGCACGTGCGTAATTATGAGGAACGCATGCGCACATGGAACAATTTGAAAGCGTTTGTGTGTTTGTCGATTGATGTTCGTACTTTATTTGTAGTTTTTCAGCAAAAAGCCTCAATGAACGCGACTATTCTCTACGTCGAAGCATGCAAGTGCATGTTGTCAATAAGCGACGACAGTCCTAACTCATGGATGGAATTATTTCAGCTTTTACCCAAGCTACGCCAAGCGCTTTCTTGTCGTGTTTGCCGTGGGCTCCTCGTAGACCCTTTCGGCTCTCAGAGCTGTGAACATTACGTTTGCCGAGGTTGTCTAAGGAARAAGCGATCTCTTAACCCCGGATGTCGTTGGTGCCTTAACATGGACAACTTRGTTCCTGATCAGCAAACAAAGATTTTRCTCGCYTGTTACCAGAAACTGTGTGAATTTGTCACAGAGTCGAGAGCCGTTGGCCACCTCCGCAGTCAAAATGGAGAGTACAGTGCGATCGTTGCAGTCATACACGAGGCAATGGCGAGTCCGATTTCAATGGACAACGGCTCACAAGATCAAAAATCCGATCAACAAGAGGCACAGGCGAACAATAACAATAATATATCCAGCGCGAAATCGAACAAGATGGCGGAACAGTCACGTGGTATTGCCAGCAAACTTCCGGCGGAAGTGATCGTACCTCTACCCAAAAGGAAAATCATCCAACTTTTRAACGAAATGGATGGATCTGAAGAACAAAAGCCACAGAGAAAGAAAAGAAAACATTTTAAGGGAACAATCTACAACTATAACAAGAAAAAGAAATTCAAGAAAATTGCAGATGGTGAGAAGGACTCRGAGAATGTTGTGTGYCAACAGTTTTTGGGAACAGTTCAGACAATAGAAAATGTGCAAGATTCTAACGAAGAGGTTCAGGTAGTTGAYGAAATWGCAGAAAAACCATTATTTACAGCAACAGACTTATCTACTCAAATAGTTGACAATCAGATACGAGGAAGGTTGTGTCGTTGTGGAGTTTCATCAATTGGGAATTCCAAACGTTGTGTTGGGAAACGCTGCCCATGTTTTAGTAAGGAAAAGTCRTGTGAACACTGTGCATGTTGTAATTGTGCAAATCCATTCAACAATAACAATGTGAGGCTGAGTAATGAACTCAAACCTATATTAGAAGATGAAGTTTGTGTGACTGAAAGTTAAAGCATTTTTGCCTTCTCAACTTTTTATATTATTAATGRCATACAAAGTTGGGTACAAAATGAATTGTATTTCTTTTCAGTTTTGTTCTTTATGGCTTACATACATTCAGTAACATTTTGAAGGAACTTCTTTTTACACAGCACCAARATTCAATGAATGCATTCTCATACTTGCATAGGAGTCCTATTTTATGCCTTATCATTCGCAATAGTTCTCATTTAATGCCTCAAGAGTTAAAAAACGTCTAGTCAATTTTGAGTGAGTTTTCTTTTAAACATACAAAATTGTTAATWTTGACTATTGTATATTTGGCAAAGATGAAAAAAGGCTTGAAACCAAAGTTTATGTATATTATAAGAGATTGCTGTAAATAGCTTATTGCCAACTGCAGTCAATTTACCCCTGACAGGATATATATTATATATTGTTTTTTATGATAAGCAATATTGTTTGATTTATGTAAAACCTTTCTATAGAGAATTGTAATGGAAGGTTGGACTTTTTCAAATMATTTTTTGTGATTGTATCAAACTATGACCTACATCACTATATTTAACACCGATTTATATTTATTGGAATAAACAGGATTGGAAGTTCTTGTTTCAACTATGTATGTTTCTTGGCCTTTCCAAAGTTTTATGCTTAGACTGGCACCGCATTCTCCACCTGACTCTCTTTGGACTTGCAAAATAAGAAAACGTTTTAAAACTGCAAAAACATGAATTTGTCCTTGTGTTGGAATGAAGGGTGGGGTAGTGTTGCCTAAATGGGAATTTGTCCACTACTACTTTGACTTTTGACACTGTTAACTCAAAACTATGGTACACAAACTCACAACAGGACCCATAAGCTTGTCTGTAGCATTGCAGTATGTCCCAAGGGAAAACTATAGGATACTTGTAGATTTATGGTACCAAAAGTAAACACCCGAGAAAGCAATCATGTAGTACCCATGGAGGTAGCAACCACAAGACAGTAAATAACCTAAATATATAATATACATTTTAATTTACAAGACGTTTACCTTAAACAACATCTCACATCTGTGATTTACTATTTCTTTTGACAATAAGTCTTTGTGTGTGATCTAACATATCCATGGGATACATCACTTAATAAATATGAACTCTAAAGTCCTAACCAGTGGTTATACTATTTCATGGATGTCATCTCTCAATTTTTAACACAATTTGAATTTAAATGTTACCAACAAAAGCTTAAATGAGCATTATGTTTTTATCGCCCTTTCTTTTTAGGTATCATCTTTGTTTATAAACGGCATATCAGTCCTTCATAWCATACTGTGTACTTGTAGTGTTGGTTCAGTTGGTTTTTATCCTGATGGATGTTAGGAACCAAGTCTATTATTCATTGCTGTATTCCATCATTACAGCATCCTACCATTCTCACAATGTGACATTCAGTGATAGTCATTTGGGTTGCTGAGATATTCTTTGTGAAGAGCTGGGATTGGCAGCACTTTTGGTCAACTGACTTTATCATTTCTAAGCTCACATGGATGGATGGTTTGACTGTTTGACTATTCTATTCCTAGATATCATCATCCTCATCTTTATTATCTGTAAGTTCAGTCATGATACTCCAAGGACTGCTGTCTTCTTCRCTTGATAAACCTTTGAGAGAGAGTATATCTTCATCTAGTAAGTCTTCATCATCAGCTTCAAAGTCATCTTCATATCTGTCATCAAAAAACAAACATCAGTTAGCAYTAGAGATTCTGCAAGAAGCYAGTTYTGTAGAAGTCATAGGATYGATGAGTGTGAAGGCAAAGAGARTTTCCAGTTGATGACAACCTATACTTTTTGTTTTCCAAACTCACCCATCTGCTTGGTCATTGGCTCCTTCCTCTGCTACAAGAAGCTCRTATTCTTCCTGGGCATACCGTTCCCAGTCTGAGGGCTGAGGATTATCAACATCTGMATTTTCCTACAAAGACAAAAGCAATACTCAAAGKTCTCTACTCAAAGGTGTCCTTACAATGGGAAAAACATTACTTAAAAGATGAAACTAGAGAATTTGACTCACTCGAGCATTGGCAAATGGATCTCTCTGTTCAAACTCAATGTATTTATCAAGGTTGAAGAATGTATTGTAAAAGATGTRTGCCATCTTACACCTGCGTAGATCACTGAGGGTTATCTTATCTAGAAAACAAGAACACTTGATATTACACTTGAATTATAGATTATTACAAGATGAGCTTTGACACACATCTAACAGTAGGTATCATTCAAGTGATGTTRCAACCGACATTGTCTTGAAAACATTTTAATCTAGAGGAAGACATGCAAACATGCAGTTTCCTGTTACTTTTATATGATATTTCTTACATACCTTTATCGACTGGTTTAACCATGTCTAAAACCTAAACAATACAAACAATTGCTTTATTTAGAGCATTTTTGATCAAATAAATGAAATCACWGAGGCTTGAGCATGATTTATGCTGAAACTGAACTTCCTTCCTCAAAACAGGAAGATGATTTGAAGATGATAATGTATTTTGTGATTTAATCTTTTCTTAAAAGAAAACTAGTAGTAACACRGAATTATAACCTTAAATATATCAAACAATTGTTAATTACCTGACAYAAACAATCCTGGAATGACATTGCTTCTATCCCTAATGCCTCCATTTTAGAAGCTTGCTCTTCATAGAAAAACTCCAATTCATACATTGACAAAACACCATCGCCATCTGTATCCATACATCGAAACCAAAATTCTATRCTGTTTGTCAGATAAATATAACATTAGTAATATGAATTATTACTCCTAATGTAATAAGATGTACAGAGATGTTTCTAAGAGTGATAGTGTTCATAGTTTTTACTACCTTCTTGGATGTTTTTTATCTTCTTCTGATAGCAAAAACCACACAAACTCAGGGTATGTCATTTTGCCTTCCTTGCACGTCTTACCCCTGGAAGGTAAAATCAGACATGACATTACATGCGCTCAAATTTGCATAGTGTATCACTGACAGTAACAGTAATAATAATTTATACTTTCTATAATAATTTGTACTTTCTAACCTTGTGACTGAACCAGAAAAAAGTCTTTTTACAATCCGMAGGGAGAGTGCTAGAAAGTCAAAGATAGATTAATGCAAATTACTTCAATGATATCTATCATTGTTAACAATTCTTAAATGTGTGCCAGGTAGGACCAGGTATATAACACAGCACACATAATGCTAAATAAATAAATGTTAATCAATGTGTGGTTTGTTTTCTCAGAGAACAACAATTTTTAAGCTCAAATCCATTATCAACAAACTGTATTTTATGACTATTGTTGTTATGGTGTTTCCATAGTTACCATGATTGTTGTGCTTTGCAAGGTCTTTCTCATCAATCAAGAGATCATGGTCTGTATCGAGYTCCCAGAATTTACAATAAATAACATAAAAATGTTCATAAGAAAAATAGTCCACAATCTGAAATCAAAGGAGTTTCACAAATCAATAATCATGAACTTCTATCATAGTAATAATGTGCTGAAGTCTCACCTCATTTATGTCTTCCTCATCCTCTAGTGATGCCAGAACCTATTTATAAAGACAAGTGCAACATATGAATGAATATCAATAATGGTTCAACCATGGATATAAATTATCAACACAATTAATATACCAAAACCATTACCTCTAAAAAATTGCTCCGTCTTAGCTCTGGAATAGTGATTTTACCTGTCCATGAGCTGTTGACATTGTAGAATATTCTAGCAATCACCTGAAAAGGGTCATATTTTAGTAAAAAATAGGGAAAACAGAAGCATTGAATTTAACAGGGCCAAACATATAATACTAATCCCTCTTGTCTCATTTCTTTTCAAAAGTAAACATAAAAACATGCTATGATACAAATCCAATACCTTGAAGAGATTTATTGCTTAAATTTATCTAAAATGTTGATAAGAGATTGGAAAGCAGTTCACTTAGTAYAGCTTGCCTCTGTCTGAGAAAGTTAAAAATGGAAAAAGTAAAACTTACTGTATGGACATATCTGGAATGAAATTCTGGAGCATCTTGTAAAAATGCGAGACCAACATGAGTATTGACAATATCCTAAAATATGATTAGAAGAAATGTTAATATCAAACAAATAATCCAAACAACTACTATAAACTGTTTTACCTGAATTAATGGTACAAAATCCTCAGATTCTAAAACATTTTTGGTTGTCTTTGATGACATCAAGTAAACAAACTTGGATGCATCATCAAAACATGTTGATGTCAACCTAATTTGAACAAAAAAAAATAATGGAATAAGTAACTAGTTTTTAGTCAATTYTTTTCTTAATATTGTGTTTTTTGATAATTTTATATCTTTTTGACAAAAGGTTGAATATAGGCCCCTGTTTTCAATAATTTATGAAAAAAATTCCTTGCTGTGATCTATGATTTCTGTCTTGCATTTATCAACAATTATCAGGGTTATCTTATTGGCTTAAGTAATGCTTGAACTATCAAGTGGATTGGGAGCGAAAATTAGTGTTTTCTTGCAAAGTCTATGTTTCTTTGTTCACACAAAGCCTTTGACAAAAAGAAAAATTATCAAATGGTAAAACAATTAATCATTAAAAAATATTAACAATTAAAAGAACAAGTGAATGGACTAATCACATGATAAGTGGATGAATAAATGAGAGGGAAAATTAATGGATTTATATAAAACAATAAAGATAGAAAGATTCATGAACTACAATATGTTTTACCTTCTCCAAAGACTTGTAAACATAGTAAGTGTAACATATCCATTTTTGTGTCCTCCAGATGCCGAGAACAAGGRTTCTTTCCAATAGAGAGGCAGATTACAGGCCTAGAATAAAGTATAAGAGGATAAGATACAACATCTGTTCTATAAACATATCAATAACTCAATAAGAACAAGATTTAAAGATAATAGCTAGCCCCTGATACATTTGTAGGAATATAAATTTGATTTTATCAAGAGAATAAGGAACCAGTCTCTTATTATAGTAGTGTTTTTATTTCATAATGTGACACTGATAGACATTTTATCCCTTATGAATCAGTAGGGTGCTTCAATTAATGCATGGCATGTAGCTGTAATGTATGCAAAGTTCAGTTGTTGACTGATAATGATAGAAATTTGAAGGCCTGTTTGTTTACATGCATATGCACGCAGACAATAACAACAGCTATATTATATATATAGAACTTATAACAACTGATACACTGCTGAGCTAAACACACTATAATATAAGATTTCCAACCCATAACCTAAAGCTTTCTGGTACTGCACATACTTTAGTCATAACACATACTATAGATCATAGAAAACCATAATCTACAGTATTGTACTGGTATTAATAGTACGTGATCTTATATACAAAGGATGTTAGTGAGAAGGTATTCTTTTGTGTATTTGCAAAAGAGCCTACTTTAGATTTCCTAGTTCTTCCCAAAGTCGTTTTTGACTTCTTTTAGTCAAGGCAATATCATGCCATTAAAAGGCTAAATATGAAGTACCATGCACTTCATTTTCACCTAGTTCCAGCAAATCTTTTGATAGGACTTAGAAATTTATTATGCAAATTATTCCAAACAAAAAATTAGCAACCTGTTTAGTGTAATTCCTAGTTAAGAACTAGCCAGAATACAAAACTTAAAACTGCCATGGAAACTGTAATTATTATATGAAGCAATCTTWTATGAATATCTCCAAGGAACAAAAGGCAACAGGAAGATTTTGCTGTGCTTCACTAGTCATTGAGAGTCTAGATTCGTGTTAATTTCAAAACATATCCGCGGAACACATATCTGATTAACCTTATAGGCAAACAGTCCCAGAAACGATAATATTTTACATYAGAACGGAGAGAAATCCCTAAAATGAACTCAAGCAAACAAGTTGAAGACAATTTTGTATTAAAATGATCTTTAGTAAAACAAAGTTCACAGCGTGGACATCATGTGGTGTTGTAACATTACAATCGCGYGTTCCAACCTCCCTCAAAGATACCATCCTTTATATCCTAAATATATACAGCTTAAGCATAACCAAGTCTGTTACATTCACGCTACGATTGCTGAAGGGGTTTGATTTTAGAGTGGTATGCAAACATAATTGCATATGAACACTTGAAAAGAGGAAAAATATCATTGTGTCGCTTGAGTGAACAAATCCATAGGTGAAAGGTACACCTTTTTAGATGGTACTTCTTTCTTGTTTTTACAAGAAAAAAAGAGAAAAAAACCGCAACATTAAAACCTTCCGCAAATGGATTTTTAATGCGTGAAAACACCAACTGCGTTTCTAGCACAAGAGGGCACATTCTATAATAGTCGCAACATCAGCTCTTTTAACCTATGTATCTCATTCCCTAAACTAATAATAGCGCGTGTTCTGGAGAGGTTTAATTAAAATGTTCCTGAAAGCAGCTGATTTTAGTTTAGARAAGACTTCGATCAAGTAATTCTTGCAAATTTGAGTATAAGTTTCAATCAGGGATTATCGCGCCTCTCGTCAACACAGTATTATAACTCATCATACCTTCGTAACTGCAGAAAAATGCTCTTTCTTCACACAACCTTTCTCGAAAACATCAAAGACTTTAACGAGTTTCTTCAATGTTGAGTCAACGTCCGATGAATTGGATGAAGCTGGTTTGCCAAAAGGAAAATAGAATTTCGGGATGCTGGCTGCACAACCTGGGGTTATCTTTGTCGATCCGTGTTTGTCATCAGGTAAATGAGAAACTGTCTTCATCGGTACCCTGATCGAACCATGTCGATCTGGCTCTGGAGAACGAGGAGAATTTCTAGCTCCCGACTTTCGCAATGATCGTACTTCTCTGGGGCTTCTAGGAGACCGTACTGGTGTTGGAGACGAGGATGGTGCCGGGGGGGAAGAGGATCGACTACCTCCCCCTGAACCAGAGTTTGATAAACACTGTTTAGGCGAAATAGGTCGACCTTCGATAACCTTGTTCAAATCATCACGAAGGATCCGTTGAGTGCTTGGCATCGAGAGCCAACGAAGAAACAGCTCGTCTACTTTGGCTTTTAAGTTCGGTGTAACGGCCATGTGAACCATGAAGGACTATCAAAAGCCAAAAAGTATTATTGTACAAAGTCTGTGCGAAAACTGTCAGTAACTGTCAAAGTGTTGAAAATTATAAATACTGATCACGCAAAAATATCACTTCAGAACTCCTTGATTTTGAGGACAAAAAAGACTTCATGAATGGCCATAACTATAATTTACTGGTGTGGGCAGTTTATCATGTCGAAGATATGCCAAGAATCACAAAAAGCAACGGATGTCGTGTCCCTCGCCCACTGTCAGCTACTTTCGAACTCCCCACGTCAAGGCTTCATATCTTCGTTGTTATTCTTCCATAAGATTCTCGTGACTGGTTCATAGGTTAAGATGTCCTTCGGTACTTCCTTGCTATCCAAATGAAGCGAAAAATACTTGTAAATGCATGAAAAATGACATCAAACCCGTTGAATCGTGTAGGGTTTCAACAAAAACAACTCGAATGTGGCGCGCTGTTGTGTGGAGGAAGTGAGCCCGTGGGACAGATATGCGGATATCCACATTAGAACCCAGGCTCCAATCTCGTACCTCTCGAAAAGCCGGGAAAGTTTATATGTTGATTGTTGAAATTTGAACACAAAAAGGAAATATGCAGAAATCTGCAAGACTTACTTCGAGACTCGATATTAATAACTCAAAAAATAAATGAATAAGTAAATAAATAAATAAATAAATATAAAAATGCGCTTACCATCTGGAAGGTTCGAAGTGACGTGATCGAGAGGGAGGGAAAGAGGAGTGGCGTTGGTCCGGTGAGTCAGACGTTAATTCTACAGCAATATATATTCTACCAGTAAGGGAATCACACGGTCACTTAGTTTTTAATGGCTATTTTGAGCAGTTGCAGTCTTTATTACGTCGTGACGATCACTTGCCCAAGTGGTTCTTTTATAAGCAATCAGATGGATAGACTTGCACGTCCAATTTGGCTGTTTTTTTTGCCCGTTTCTCGAAATTTCTAATTTTATTTGTTGTTCAAAGAGAGTCTCGACAAAGATATTAAAGTACCTAAAAGGCAAGTAGTTACTTGGCTACCCACAATCAGACAAACGTCCAATGACCTTCAATGCCCGCTGTCAATAAAGGAATGTATATTCCCTGTGAAAAAATTAACATCACYATCGTTCCACTGCCGTGACTAGCGCTAAAAGCCACTATTGTTTCAAGAAAAACTGGCAATAATAGCCTGGGAATAATTGTTATTTTATAAATGTACTAAAATCTTGCTGGCAACCAGTTGTCACTTTCAGCTAGGAACAGATTATATTGCTTATTTAAGTAATAACTTTTAAGTTTGAGTTTAAGAACTCATTGGTTGATCCTTCCCCAGGCCGCTATCCCATGATTCACTCATCACGTGATCACGTACATATTATTTATTCAGGTTCATATTATATGGATATTTGTATGGAACTCATTTTACATGTATATTTTTTTCAGAAAAACGATTGAAGTTGTAAATGATTTTCTTCACAAGTTAATAAAATAAAACTAAGAACGTTTTATAAAAGTTTCCCAGGTGATACTGTTATGGGTTAGTTATCACCGTTACYTTGGAAACAATTTCACAGATTAGAGTGGTTACCAATTTTATATTTTGATATCCCATAATAGTCGATCCACAGTATATAAATTGTTCAACAATAAGAACTTCCATAACACGCATCAGCCAATAAAATTCACTATATATAATGCACAAAAACCTAAAGAGGCTCTTAGTACACTCTGAATTCTTTAAAACGTTTCTTTTAAATGCCTGTTCTATTTTGCCCCATTCCAGAGGAGGGGTAGTAAGAAGTACTGCCCGCAGTGTGTGTCGGCCACGAGCTAACACCCCCTTGTGGCATACCACTTCCAGGGTTACCGTAAAACATGCCCGTAGAAAAAGCATCATCGGGATAATATCCTTGAGGAGGGTAAGGGTTCTTAGTGGGCAACGAGTAACCGTGAGTGGATGACGGATAATAGCTGGAACGCGACGTTAAATCCGTGCTTGGATACGGCGCAGAGTAACCCGACATAGAACTCCCGTAAGGAGGCGGTTGATTGTATGACGGCGAGGTTTCTCTCTTAGAAATTCCAGTTGGACTGTATCCTGGAAATTGTCGACTTCCTGGATAATTCAACCCAGGATAAGATTGCCTGCCAGACTGTATTCCTGAATAACTATCCATTGTCGACCCAGAAGAAAAGTTCGTTTGATTGTAAGCAAGGTAGTTAGTGAACGATGAACTTTGATCGTAAGTTGGCGGGAACGAGCCAAAACGACTGTCTGTGCTAACACGTGGATACGAACTGGGGGATTGGGGAACACCGAGCCGGTCAGTTGGAAACCCTGGGTCAGGTCTTAARGGAGAACGAATATTTTGCGAGGGTGAGCGTAAAGTGCTGTATTGGTCGGGTCTTGATGGCGGTTGCCTCTCACTACTGGAGAAACAAGAAGCCAGGGCACCAAATCCTAATGCGTCAAGTTCTAATGGGTCAACTTTTGGCGAGATACGCTCCAAGGGAGGCGGCTTGCTTTTAGGAACATCCAATGTATCTTTCTTGGGCTCTTTTGCGTCATCTTTATCGTGATCATCCTTCGTTGTCGTGTCTTTTTTATCTGTTTTTGAAACATTGACCGTTGGACCAGACTTCTCTGATGCGACATCAGTATCAGTATTGTCTATAGTAGAATCCTGAGAATCGTCGAGTGATTTATTCTTGTCTTCATTACCGCTTTCCTTTGCYGTTTCTTCCTTTTCATCACTACATGTCTTCGTTTCGTTGTGTTTATCAYCTTTTGARTTATCATCAACGGACGTTTCATCGTCTGAACCAGAGCACTTGCCATTAGTCTTACCCTTCACACTTTCTTCGTCTTCGTCATCATCCTCGATTATATGTCTTCTTAAATATACATGTCGTTCAGGTCGCTTATACCGATCGTCATCCGTACTCCCATCGTACTCATAATCACTGATTTTTGAATCGGAATCGCTACCCGAATCTAAGTCCTTCAGCCGACGTGATCTTCGTCGAGCCGATGTTCTTGGAGTAGAGTAGAAWCGTTCGACAGCGAAGGCTGGTTTTCCCGTCGGGTGACCGTTCATTTCTGTGTCGTCAAGCTTAAGTCTCTTTTTATCAGTTTCAACAGCATCTGAAATTTCGTCATCAAACTCCTTAAAAGTATAATCTACGGTTTTTCTTGCTCTTCCAGAGCGACGAATTGTGTCGATTTGCTCCTCATCACTCCCAGGACCCTGAGAAACAYAAAAATATCAGACCAAGCAGTCACCATCGCAAAATCGAGGAAAAAATCCTCTAAACTAATATATTATTTATACTAATAATCAACTATAAAATCATAAGTTATCGTCCATGAAATGATGTATGATAACGTACCTGCAATATGTTAGACAAATTCATYCCCGACTTTGTTAGCCTGAAAACGAAAAAGAAAAACAGTTTCACTTCACTGCGCATGCGTACAATATCCGTCCAAAAACTTTTTGAGACGCAAACAATCATCGTTAAAAGTCATTTTTGGCTTTCAAAAATGCAAACTTGTTGTTTCCATCCTACGACAAACAACTGAACACTACAATAAGGTTTAAAATTCACTTTCGGAGTAATACGATATCCCACATTTAAAAGCTAAGAAAGAAATTCTAGTATAAAAGCAGAGCTCTAATACATCCTTTCRTAGCCGTCGCTCTGCCACACATTTCTGCTGCYTACAWTGCAGAGAAATGCGCCTCGCGACAGGGCTAAKATTACGCAGGACGAATCCAGCCAWAGAAACAGTCAGTTGAAATGATCGACTGCCTGTGCCGACAACTGGAGACATATATCTTTGTGTTTTAGGCTAAAASRTTGAAATTTGAACAAAAAAATACATCACTAGGTGAAAGGCGCGTTTAGATTTCCTGTCGTTATTATACAATTTATACTTGCATATCAAGTGCCATAACAATGCTTCATATTCTTTCTTATGATGCACACTTTATTTTCTATTTTTTAAATCACTTTCCAAATTAGTGTCAGTTTTATCATTTTCCGTTTTTTTGCTTTTGATTCAGYTTTCACTCTATATTTACATGTACAAACAATATTACACAAAATTAAGCACTCATTGAAAAGGCCAAAACCTTGTTTAGCTAGTGCCATTACATGGCCAATCTGCCCAGTCTTCTGGAACAAACCTCTTAGCTTGACGTGCTCTTAATCTTTGCCKTGCTACCAGTCGAGTGCGTTTTTCTTTTAGTCTCTCTAATAAGACAAGCTGAAAGAAAACAACTTCAATCAATGAATTGCTTGTAATGGTATGCTATTCCTTAATTTKCAAAAATGKCAAAAAGAAKYGTTTTTGCAGTCAGACGRGTGTCCTTTCAATACTGAGATACTACCTACCTGCTGGCAAAAAGGGCAAAACCAGTCACCTTGTGGTACATTTAGGAGAGGAGGTCGTAAACAAGCYGTGTGGTAAGCGGCATCACATTTATCRCACARCAATATCTGTCAAAAGAAATAAATATATTAATYAAACAATACTTTCACTTTCTTTTTCAAGTGGCAGTTWTTCTCTGGGTTTAGCACTCAATTTGTAAAAAATATTATTGCTTCTGTGATACTAGTAATAATACTGCTCAAGCAAAAGCACCAGTATGATAGGGAGACAGTCACAAGCCTGTCATTTTTCTTTCTTTAAGGTTCACTACTGTAATACTTACAGAGTCTGGCTGGACATTGGAGTAACATCGTGCACATGGATTGTCATCCTCTTCTTCTTTAGCAGCAGCTTTTTTAGCTAGAGCAAAATAATAAGGTCTATCAATCACCTAAGCCTGAGATTCTGGTAGAGTACATGAAGAAATTGAATAATGAATCTGCAACAACGTCACTAGCATGAACTGTATACAAGGAAATAAAATAGTCAAATTCACGATYAAGACATCATACATTTCTTTCCCTTCTTTGAAGTTTTAGTCTTTTCTTCATTCTTTTTCCGCTCTTCTTCTCTCTTGGCCAACACAATGTCTTTAGGGTTTGTTTCAGACTTAATAATCAGGTATTCTATCACATTTTCAAGCTCTTCAAGGTCTCTAAATAATGAAAAAACAGCAACAAGTGAATAGTTAGTCACAGCAGTAATTACAGCATTTCCTGTGAYCATAGTCCTTCATAGTTTAAAWGGATTTTYACTTACGATGCAAGCAACTTCCATGATTCATTTTCAACTTCATCTTCTTCAGTAGAGTACAATCTGACACCTCCTGATTCATCCTAAGTGAAAACAAGAATATGAAACTTGATATCACCATCAYCATCATCATGTCCCCTTTCAATAGTAAAACATGCTAAGGTATGTACCTCATCAACTGATATTTTTTTGTTACATGACAGATTGCAAATAGCTATAAATATATGAAATCGCCCTAGTTCATTATGACATCACATCAAAACATTCTATTGTTTTAACGCTAAGGATTATGGTCGCCAGAAGGGATCAGAGTGACTGCATTTCAACTAAAATGTACATGAACAATCATTTATGCATGATATATATCAAAACACGATTCATTGAAGTTCTACTTTAGTAGACAATATAAATGGGTCCAAATTTCCACTGTTTTTGAGCATCGTTTTCCGATGTAAACATACTGTGACGTCATAATGAAATAGGACAATTCTTACCATATGGAACCAGTAGAGTAAACCATCCATATCATGACCAAATGGTGTAAGTCTTAGTTCATCTGCTTCATAGCTCTTATTGATGACTGTCTTYAACTTATTGTTAGTATCAAACTGACACTCGAGAAGCATCTGAGTACAAGAGAAATAAAAGAACAACTACAAAGTCAACTTTGAAATGAAATTTGAATTTGAACAAAAAATATTTATTGCAATGRAAATCATTGGATTGGATTGATGCATGAGAAACAATAACTAATAATATAAGATCTGTCTCAAGATCGCAGAAAAGAACAAAACCAAAACRAACGTTGRAATTTGAAGCACTGACAGACAAATTGAACTGCTWTTACCTTAAATAATTCAAGTTTTGTGCCTATTTTCAGTTGATCATAGCCAAAGTTTTCCAAATCCCAAGAGACTAACATGTTTTGCTCCTTAGCAATCTGCAAAATTATGACAAAGAAATGGTCGTAACATGTTCAAGGACTGTTTAAAATGTAAACAAGACCAGTGGTAATGCATTCAAAACACTTTGATTACAAGTAAAGTATTGTAAGGCTACCTTTAACAGTGCTTTCTCCCATTTATCAGGTCTGAATCTCCTATTCAGCTTCACAAGTAATTTTTTGTGTAGATATTCCAGTTGTCTACAATTTTCTGAAATGAATAATAATTGAATAAAATGAATAAAAACTGGACATTTCACTCAAAAGAAATCTCACATATTTTTCTTGATTTTGCAAGCACTAAAATGCAATAAATTTCAATGTCAAATAGAACGAGTGAATGRAATTTATACTAACACTACCCCCGAGAGTAACAAAATAGTCACGTATTTTTTCCCCTTTGTTTGCCTTTTCATAAAATTTCAAATTATCAACAAAATAGTAAAAAACGTATAGGGAATTCCATTAGCAATTATAATAAACTCCCAGAATTGCAAAAAGTTTTAAAAACGACCACAAACTTAAGGCATACAAGATAGTTTTAGCGAATGAATGAAAACACAAAACAAAAGCTCACAAAATGCGAAACCATGCATTTCGGCAGTTACTTCGAAACAGCAGTTTTTTATGTTAGTTTTACTGATTTCATATTTGAATACGACTGGAATGAAAGAGAAACGTTCCTAAAAACTCAAATTTCATTTTTCATAGGTTTCTCAAAAACATTTGTGGTCACTAAACCATGTAACGCCACTCAGTTGCAGTGCGGCAACTTTAAAAAATAGGATCGCCAAAAGACCTCAAAAAACATCTATATGCGATAAATAAGAAGCAGCCATGGATTAATTTAGCTTTGTTGGATAAGATATCAGGTCAACACCATGAAAATTAGGTTCCTTTTCATCGAAAAATGAATATGGATTGCTTACAGCTGTCAGGAAGCTTTTGTGAAAATTTTCGATGCTAACTTAGCCCACAGAATCCAAAAACAAACGGCTTGAAAAGTCACGATCTTCGAATCTATAGAGTGCGGCTGAGATACATTTGGTTTCAAAGAGTTCGCGACTCGGAATTACGTTTTTACAGCAATGCCCTGACTCGTGAGGAAGAAGCTAAGCTAAGGGAAGCTGTGCTAATGGCCTACCGTTACGAGGCGAATGGCTGTTAAAAGCATCCTCTAAACCGTCCAAACTAAGCTCTGGAAAGCGAAGCAGCTCGCAAAAGTTTTCCAAGTATGACCAGATGATTGCAAATTCAGGATATTCAGCTGCTCTGCCGACCTTTTTAGGGCTTAAAGTTTGGTCTGTATTCTCTTCTTCGTTCTCAACATCGCTACTCCCTGTCGACGCCATCTTGTTGTAACAATGGCTTCTCAAGCCTAGTCCCTCTCGGTCAGTCTTCATTAGTACCTATTCCCTTGTGCCGCAGCTGTTCTTCGGGCCMTYGGGCTTCTCTGTTTCTGCAACTTTCGGCATGCAATAATACCAAATACTATTCCTGGTTTTAAGATGTTTATTTATTTTATAAAACAAGGTAGGCAAGGGAAAAAGAATTCAAGGAAAGACAAGGAAAGAAACATCGACCCCATTTTGGATAGGTACGTGCCGCCAGCGGTCTAAATCCCTGACCCTGTTTAAGACACTAAAAAGTAAAAATCCATACCCTGTTCAAGACAAATCGGAAAAATAAGGAATAGCTATCTACGCCGCAACCATCAAAAATGCAATTATACTGACATCCATCAAAGACAATAAGAAGTTTTTGATAACACGTTAATTCTGGGACAGTGAAACGGTATTTCTACGGTGTTATTAAAATATTACCCTGTCCAAGACACACACAAAAATTATATCGGTCTCTTTTATCTAAATTGTAGAGCCTGTTTAAGACAATTTCGGGTGAAATGTATACCCTGTTTAAGACAGCAAGGCCAAAAACCATACCCTGGCCAGCGGCACGTCCCCGTATAGCAAATATATGGGAGTACCCCCCCC